GCATGATTTAAAGCCGATTTCAAAATATTAAGTCGCACACTGGCATGGAATTTCCTCGTAAAATTTCAGCTCCCTAGTATGACTGGTTGGCAAAAATGCTTCCCATTACAAATACTTTTGATGTGTTTGAACACTTGACGCAGGCGAGTGCCAAAACTCATTTTATGTCTGCATGCCCATGTATGGAAAACAAATACTCTCGTAAAGTGAGAATGCTCTAATCAGCTTAATCCCTGAGCTGGCAGATGCTAACGATGTTTCACTCGCAACTTGGAAGTGTTTGTACACATGATGTAGGTATGTGTTAAAGGTAAATTTAAAATCTTTATTTCATGCAAAGATACACAGCAGCTCTGTGAAATTTTAGCTTCTTACCTTGCCTGGTTTCGGATACCGCTTTCCCGTCGATAAACTTATGTTTTCTTTTATACAAAACCCAGGCGTACGTGAATGTTGATTTTAAGCTATTTGAATGGCTCGTGTTCTTGGAAAATCTTTGTAAAATTCAAGATTCCTAGCTATGCGATCGCAGAGTTGAATGTGGGCGATAGAAAACCGAACACACACGCACACAGGCCAACAACCTCTCAACAATGAACTTTCCTGCATTTGTATATGGATGCAAAAACGCATAAAAACAGTTCAAAAAGAAATGAAATATCCAGCGCAATAAATGGTGTTAATAAGGCGCTATCGCGTTGTCGCTCGAAATTTTATTCACAATGTTGGTTTAAAGCAACTCACTTTAAGAACATAGTCATGCGTAAAAGTCCCATCTGTGTGGAGATCTTCACGGCCCTTCAGCGGATTGAAGCTCCCGAGATGCTGCGTCCCTTTCTGCAAAGCAAAAATCTGCACATTTATGCTGAGCGAAAATAAAAAGCGAAAATAAAAACGAAACTGATGCGAACAGAACAAGGCTATTTTTCAACACATTTCCATTATTTCTTCTCCATCGTGGTCTGTTGCAAACCCTATAATCGAGAACTGCATGCCGAAGCACAGTCGGAAGGCCTAGAGCTGGAAAGATCCTGGTCAACTGGCTACTTCAGTAATGCACTAGAAATAGTGACACATTTATGGAAAGTATGAACAATGATGGATAATCAGATTACGTAGAACTCATCCTGATTACAGGGAAGTGCGAAAACACGATGACAGCAAGCAAAAGCTGCTGGACGGAAAAAATGTTACCTGTTCATTGAAAACTGATAGAATGTAGCGTATCAACGCAATCCGAAAAAAGAAAAATAATTTTTCAGATGAACATCGGAAGGGGGAGGAGTGAAGAACGACAGGAAACAGGTGATCTAAACACAGGTGTCCAGTCGGCGTGTGGTCAGCCGAGCGTCCACCTTTGAGCAGCTTGGACACTGACAGTGGCAGTAAACATGGTTGGAAAAATAATATTAAAACTAACAAGAATATCATCACCAAAAGCAACTGAATGGATTTTGTGACGCATGTCGTACTTCTGGGGTTGTCTTTCGGCGGCATGGGTACTTAAATGGAAATTTCCTGGTACCTGAAAGCAGAACTAAATGGCAGCGAGGCCTACTGCAGTATGTCATGCGCCGAGTTATTTCTGAGTAATCATTACGTTAGAAGAACTGAGAGATATCCATAGGACGTAAGGCTGCCCAATCTGCCTGTTTTTATACGTTTTTGCAATAAACAAAAGAAATCGCTGTGCAGACGTCACGTATGTCTGTACTAACGTTAGAACTACGAAAGCTAGAAAGCTGAAATTTTGACAACCAAATGTAGGTGCAGAATTGTAAAATCAATTTTCATGTTCTCATATGATTTGAAAATACGAACATGCACGAATCTGCCACTTGCTCCCACAAAGTTTGGTACGCAACATCAAACATCACATTTTCTCGTGCTACCGCATCTGTTAGGGACTTGTGTCGAGATTTTAGAGAACGCTCCCCGACCACGTATCAGGACGCTAGCCTAGAAATAATTTACACCTCTCGCTATCTTCAAACTTCGACTTCAAATCCAGGCCATCGAAAAGATTAAAAGATGGAGGCGCGCTAGGGAAGCAACCATGGTTGAGCATTTTGCAGTATGCTTTTGTGGGTGCTTTGCTGCCGAATGTCTCGGCACATATGTGAGTTAATCATGATTTTAATCGATCCAGCAGATTTACAGTACCATAGCTTGTAGAAATGTTTGGCTAAATTCGGTCCCTTTTCTTCGGATAAATGCAACCAACTCTCCAGGTGAGAAAATGAGAAAATTTGTCTTCTAGTTTTACGGTAGGTTCAGCGCAAAATATGATATTTTAGCAATAATAAGTTCCAAAAAAAATACACTCAGTCTAAACTCTCAAGCCTGTAAGATTTGGAAATCGTTCCTCCAAAATTTATATCTCCATAGCTGTCGAGAATTAATAGGTTCACACTTTGTTAGTTCAAAAAAACAAAGAAAATACTTTGAAATTTATACGTTCATACCTTACTAACTTCAAAATTTGCCTCAAATCTACATCCACTGGCAGCAATTGGAACTTTTTCAGTATTTTGGACAAATCCAACTTCATGACGCCCATTATCATCCTGTATATCAACTCCTATATCTGAAGATAGAGTGAGCTGTAAGTACTGCGCTTCAAAATTTTCTTAATCATAAACTGATTAACGATTTGATTTACCAGTTACTAAATTACCGGCAAAACTTACAGTTGCAGGAGAGATAGGGCAGTGAAACGTTTAAATGCACTTTTATTCGACCTTCTCTTCCTGGATCGTCCACAAACAATTCCGATCTGCTGCAAAGAATGCCAGCAGTTTAAAAATGCTTGAGCAGATGGATTAGAAAATGCAATCGCAAATTCATTAGCGATGAATTTTAAATAAAAGATTCTGTAGCATTTATACTAATATGCATATAAGTTTAAATTTAGAGTATAGGGATTATTACAGTAGTTTGATGAACCAAACAAAATAAACTAAACCGAACTGAAACATTTGGACCCCCTGATTTCAGCGCCACTGCTGGGTTCATCCTTACAAAAACCGTGAAGAAATGTTTTCCAAAATTTTTTAAATGATTTTTTACGGCATATAGTATCAGAGGAGTATTTGACAACATGAAGCTAGGGTGGGAAGAAGCACGCTGAAGAGACAATTCGGTTAACTCTACCTTTTTTATGTTTAGCTGTAGGCTAAAATCAGATTCACATTCTCTAATGAGAAAACTTAAGGAGTGAAAAACAACGAAGGGATGAATAGGGTGAAACGAACTTTCTCATTTGCTCACACGCATTACCCAAACTGTTCTAGGAAAATTAAAAACAGTGAGAGCGACAGCAAGTTCCGCAGATGACGGAAATATCCAGCAAGGTGCAAAATCAGCTTGAACTGAGTAGTAGCAAATTTAGAAAAAAGAGGAAACATCCTGCTCCCAAAAAAAAAGCATTTGAAACGAATTTCCAGTGCTTGTTTTCTGTTAAAATCTGAGTACGCCACTGATTTTTGTTTCTCTGTGCGAATTGTTAGAACATTTTTTGTGGAAATGAGTTCTGCGAAGGCACGTACATTTCCAGAGTGAGGAAGCTGACCAGGTCACTGATCACCATAAAAAATATGAATGATACACAAACAATCGATATTATTGCGCCGGTGGTGGTCGGTTGCGTCAAATCACGCGGTACTTTTCGATAAATATCAAGCCTAAAATTGAAGATTGGGAACAAAAAAGTCATCTTGCAGATTCCACTCCCAATGAAAAAATGAGAGAGCCACTCCGTGATTCCTGTCATATTACTTTTATTTGGAATAACTGCTTATTAAAAAGCTGTTAGTATCTTCTGAAAAGAAAGCTACTAAAGTTGGCTTCAGCCACAGCAAAAAACAGAAATAATAATCTGACAACGGAAAAGAATTAACATCTTATACAAGGAGTCAAAAATAATGAAGTTCAAACTACAGACACTCTGCTCGGATTTCAGTAAAGAATGAAGATCTTTGCTGCTGCTTTGCTCACTTCGCTGAGTTATTCCTTATTTATATCCAGGCAAAGGTTCAATAAAAAACGACCTCTTAACGTCGAACATAACTGTTGCAGAAGCGGAGCAATTCACTTCGTACTGTTGGTATGCATATATTATACCCGTATGGCATTCAACATCCGGTATACAACACTGGGAGAAGATAAAGTCAACAGGCAACGCTTAAAACATTCGCAATGAACGAAAAGCAGTACGCAAAGCATGGTTTTATAAAACTTTGAAATAATTTTTGCAGATCGAAGTTAATCTGACAGCAATCGATTCGAACCCAAAAATCATTTTTTCGCATTTTTTAACATGGATCGATCTTTTTGAAACGTCATAAAATTCCTTTTTATATTTGATTTTAAATTTTGCTTTCTATTTTCATTTTATTAGCGCAACAATAGATGATCAGGGCCAACTGGAAAACTGCAACACACTTCTTGACCTCCAAATAATATTCAGCTCTATGATACTAGATGATTTTTAGCGGTCACGAAGAACGAGAGAAAGCAGGAGTTGGTTTTGCCTTCCAAAAGATGGTTCATTTTTAAAATTTTCTCTTATTAGTTGCTTTTTCCGATTTCCAGCCGGAAATCGAAAAGAAAAACAAATAGGCAAAAATTTGTTTGACACAGAGTAATGTAACAAATAAGAACATGACCTTTCGTGCACAAAAAGCAAAAGCGATTATTTTTGCGACAGGCTGCTGCAGGTATTCTGCTGGTAACTGCTCCGTGATATACAAGGGCTCGTTCTGAGTACAGAAACTGGACAAACAAAAGATAATTGGCCAGCGCACCAACTGCCGGTGCGAAGATGCGTTTTTTGCATAGTTCCCCGCAATTTTTTTCGCTACTGGCGCTGGTTTTTCCGACAAATGCTTCTAACTAAAAGAATTGAGACTGGCCGCTAGGACTACCAGGAAGTATCCGTTTAAAATTTCAATTTTCTAGCTTCTCAGGTTCCCGAATTAGAAACTTATCCGAAAAAAACTTCGGCAGGCCCGTACGCCGGTACCACGCATACCCGAGGACTCGTTTGAAGCTCATTAAAACTTACGTGGACGGGGAACATTCCGCTGAAATTTCAGCTTTCTAGCTTTTCTGGTTCCCGAGTTGGCGACTTACCTGCAAAACTTTCACGGGCCCGTAAGTGGGTACAACGCGGGTAAGACCACCCATTTTGTGAATGGGGCCCGTACATGCATGAAGATTAAGTTCCCAAAGTTTCAGCCCTGTAGCTTTTGTAGGACTCGAAATGAAAAATCGGTAAAGACGCACAGCGCACACACAGACACACAGACAATTTCTCGTCAACATGCGTTTTCTGTATTGCGTAGATGCAAAAAACGCATAAAAAGCACCGAAACTTCGGTCCATTCTTGGCCCGTCCTAGAGTTGTAAGCTGGTATTCGCATGGTCATGAGCCAAGAAATGGTGATGTTTGAAAACTAATTCTGGATTACCTATACCATCTTACATGATATACATCAACAGGAAAAAATCGTTTGCTGCTAGCCCGTCTCGCTTTAAAGTCACGAACTTGGTCTGAATTTAGGCCTGAAATCACGAACCAGGCACAAAGAGAAGCTTGAGAGATGATTTGAGATTTGCGGCTTCGTGATACGGTTGGGGAAAATTTCCCCGAAATTTCCACCTTAATTTCAATTATCTGCGCGAACACACAAACGCACACACACATACGCACACACACACTTACACACACATACACACATACGCACACATGCAGTGCATGCACATAGATATGGGCTGACAAAGGAACATTTTTCCCGAACATTTATGCAAAACAAGAAACATAAAATTTTCTTATCACCATCCTGTCTGGAAGAATTGGTGCAAACTCCTACAGGAAGACAGTAAAATTCGCCGCTGATTGGCCACAAGGAGATGCAGGCCGCCTTCAGCAGAAATTATTTAACAGACAAGCAACGAAATAACAGAATGATGAAGTTCGCTGGCTATCCCGCTGCACCCGGCCAGCGTTCCTCTGTAACTGGGCTTCTACATTTCGATCGCATGCACCACCAGGAAGGAGCACCACAACAAAACTGTCTAATTGCAAGAAACCTGTGGCTTTCGATGCTGTCTGGTTCCGCTGCAGCTAAATTTTTGTTTATTTTTGTTTCGCTGATTGCTCACAATGCACCTTCAATTGCGAACAGTTGCTGCACTAGCTTGCATATAACTTTTCTCATTTGGCTGTTGGGGTGAACAAGCAGGGATAAAATCCTCACACGAAGTGGATGAGGCGATTCTGCATAAAGAAACGTACATCTTTTGAACTTGCAACTCCTCAGCAAGTAGCTGCGCACGCCTCAGTGCTTGCGTGGTAGGCATATTTGTGTCAAGTTACTGTACATTACAAGCCATGGTATCAACCTGACTGAGGACCTGAAGAGATAATGTACGACTAGGTTGACCATTAGGGGTAAAGCTAGAGCCTGGGCAGGTGCGAAGATCGAAGACCGGGTCGGTTCTTCTGGTCAAGTCTCCAGAAACTGCCGCGGTTGGGACAAGATCGGAGTTTGCCGGGTTTAAGGCTTGCATAAGCCTCGGTTTTCAGCACCCTCCACTTCCGTTTTGTAGTCGTTCGATCCAGTAGGTATCGTCGCCGCTTCTCCATGAGACCCAAATGGACTCCTAGTGTCGGTTTCTAGTAAGATAAGAATCTAGTGCAGGGGACATCCCATCTACCTGGGACATGAAATAAAACGCACACGTAGAAATAAATGTAGCTCATGAGCCAGAACCTTATGCAGCCAGCCAGTACGCAAAACTTTGAAGCCATTATGTATTTTATGCTGCAACAGTTGTACAGAAGAGATGTGGTCACGACTGTGTGTTTGTGTGTATATATATATGTGTGTGTTATGTGTGCGTGCGCGTCTGTGTATGTGTTTATTCCGGGAGCGTTTTATGCAGGGTTTCCAACTCAAAAACCAGAAAAGACAGGAAGCTGAAATTTTAAGGAAATGTTCCGTATCCCTGTGTAATCCCGCAGACTTAAATTCAAATAGCACCAGTACCTTAAATCTCACATACAGACACATCAAATCTGTCACTAACTCGAGAACCAGAAAAGCCTGGAAGCTGAACTTTTAGGATAATATTTCAACTATATGTGCGGTTTCAAAAAATTTAAATTCATCTTTCGTTTCTGCTTAGGTTTTACGCATGGACACGTATGAATTTTGATATGAAAATTTCTGTCTCGGGAAGCGGCAAAATCGAAGGCTTAAAATTTGGTATAATGCTTCATCTGAATGTACAACTCTGGAACTTCAAACTCAGCTTTCATGTACATTTATTTCTCAGACACGGACATATGAAATTTCACGTTCGGGAACTAAACAAAGCAGAAAGCTAAAAGGCAACTACTAAAACTCGGCTCGGCTCGGCTCGGCCGGCGCGTTTTGCGCCCCAGTGAGGCGTCTGCCATCTCTGGCAACACTATTTCGTATCGCCAGAGACAAG